GAGTGAGACTCCGACTCAAAAAAAAAAAAAAGAAAGAAATGGGGATGGCAACAGCCCACACTGTAGAGGGCCGTTGTGAGGATTGAAAGACCAATGTCATCATCGAAGACTAGTGCCAGGCACGTAGTAAGCACTAAATAAATGTTTGCTTCTCTTGTTGATCAGTATTATTATTACGACTGAGCGTGGGCGGGCCAGATGGCTCTCGGCCAGACAAGCCCTCAGAGTGGGTTTTCCCAGTTTGGTAAGTCATTATTTCCCCTCCCAGGACCTCCTCTCTAGAGCTACGGGGTTCAGGTTCACGTCTGGCCTCCGGATGGAGCAAACGTCCTATCCCACAGCAGAATGAACCTGCTGCATGTTCAAGAACAGCCTCGCAGGCGGCAGCCCACACACAGCCCGGGTGCAGGGGTCCAGGCTGCCCCGGGCTCAGGCAGGCACCCGCTGCCCCCTAGGGCAGTGAGAACAAGTGTGCAAGCCACCCAGGGGGACTCCCAGCCCCCATTCCCGAGACTGAAGCCATGGTCCCTGCAGCCGGGTGAGACCCTCCCTAGGGACAGACCCTTGGCCCAGAGACCCGAGCCAGGCCCATGGCGTCAGAGCGGGCGGTGGGTGGGAGACCTCGGTTCCAAGTTTGGGTGCTGCTACCCTCCACCAGCTGTGAGACCTGGGGCAAGTCGCTCACCCTCTGCCGGCCTCTGTCCCACCTCTATGAGAGGACTCAGATCTCCTCCCAGCACCAACATACGGCTTTAGCGATCTAGCACACAGTGGGTGCTCAATCAGTTATAAAATTCAAGACACAGCTCTGCAAAGTGCCAACATCAGCCACCGTCTCATCTTTAGCACTGAATGACCTCCGTGATCCCACCCCTAACAGGGCCCCACCCTGGGGAAGCGCTCAAGACATGAGTATTTATCTAATTAGCTCATGACTTTTGGCCTGACTTTCAGTCCAACCTGTTCCCCCACCAAGGCTGCAAGATTAGATTCCAGATTAGAGGCGCTGGGGCATCTCCCCCCACCCCCAGAGACCACAGGCTCCGAGCAGACACAGTCCATCTGCCCCCCGTCAAGTCCGGCTCAGGCAGCTGAGTGTCCCCTATGGGACACTGTGGGGCACAGACAGCAGCATGAAGTCTCAGCCGGGCAAGTCTTTTATTAGAAAATCATAAAAGGCCACGGCTCTGCCTATGCCCGGGTCTCCCACGGGAGACGCCCGGGTTGGACGCAGTGCCCAGCCACACCTCGGGCCCAGGTGGGCACAGGGCACAGCTGGGGCTGCCTGGAGCCCCTCAACTGCAGCTCTCTGAGGAGGAGGGGCTCCTTGGACAGGGACTTGCTTGGGCTCAGGATTTCCTGAGGCCTTGGGGACCAGGCCAACCCCCTCCACCCCCAGGTAGGCTCCTGCTGTTCCCAGGTCCAGTAGAAACCAGGCCTCTCTTTGGTTCCAGAAGCCGCTTGCGGTGGCTGGTCTTGGTCGCCCACTCCTGGCAGTCGGGCAGCCCCTCCCGTCCATCTTCAGGGCACTAGCCCTGGCTGCTCCCTTCCCAAAGCCCTCCCCGCCCCGGCCCCCAGCCTTGAAGGCCAGCATCATTGGCCAGACACCTCTCTTTCCTCGCCTGCAGGCTGCCACCTCCCTTGACTATCCGAGGAGGCCTGGCCTCCACAGCCTTGAGGGGCCCAGAGCTGGGTGGGCTGGTCTGCCGCGTGTGACCCCACTGTCTCATCTCAGGGGCTAGAGAGGGCACTGAAGGGTCCTGGAGACCACGAAGGTTGGTTCTGTTCTCCCAGAACCTCCTCTTCGGCTGGATGCACACGGCGGGGCGGGCAGGGGAGGCCGGGATGAAGAGCCGAGCTGGCAACCCAGGGCCAGGGGTAAGGGGCTTTCAGACGTTTATTTACAGGGAGGGGGCTGGGCTGGACCCACCCAGGGAGGAAGCCGCAGGCCATTGGGTAGTGCAGACAGCAGGGCACAGAGGGACGGTCATCAGCCTAGCAGCCGAGGGGAACGCACACGCCCACTCTCACACACTCACACTCATAAGCATGCATTTGTGCACATGGGTACACATGCACTCACACAGGTGTGCTCACAAATGCACCCACATTCATACGCTTGTGCACTGGCCCACATGGGTGCTGACACGGGCTTGCTCACACACGCAAAATCACACATGCATTCCTGCACGTGGTGCACTCGCATGCACGTGCAGTCACATACATCCACACATGCATACCAGTCATTTTCTCACACACGTGGGTTCTCTAATCTCAGCAAACGCTCTGGTTCAGGAGGCCCGAGTCCCCCAAGGCGACCCCTCTCCACGAAGAGTTTCTCCAGATCCCACGCAACCCCTGCTGGAGCCCTGGACAGCCCCAGTGGCCGGTGGCCTGCAGAGTCTCAGCGGTGGCCGTTTCTCCGCGAGGCTGAGCTGGCCTCAGGCTCTGGGCTCAGACCAGGAAGGTCAGGTCAGGTCAGGTCGGGAGCCGGTGGGCGCCCTCACCCCGGCACCCATCTCCCCAGACCTCGACTTGGCGGAGGCAGGATCATAGACGGGAAGGGGCCTCGCGGTGGCGTCGGACGAAGCAGAGACTGCAGGCGGCCTGCAGAAGAGGGCCCGAGGGGAGAGGCTGGTGGATGCCGTCTTTGGATGAGGAACCTCGCCGGGGTGGCGGGATGGATGCAGAAGAGACAGGCGGTCTGGGTCGCGTCCTCCCCGCCCGGCCTTCCCCAGGTCTGTCTCCTGCCGCCCAGGCCGTGGAAAGCCCGCGGGGCAGGAAGTGGACGATCAAGTGGCCCGGGTGGGGCAGCGGGCGCGGCGGAGGCCAGGGAACACGAGGCCCGTCGCCGGCCCGCCCTCCCACCCGGGTAGCGGCGGCCCCAGGAGGCCCC